GATACTGCAAGCCTGCCACGACGAACCTACCGCTGGTCACTTTGGTTACGCAAGAACATTGGCGAGGATAAGGCAGAACAATTACTGACCAAGACTTGCCGAAGATCTCAAAACTTACGTGCAGGCATGTTTAGATTGCCAGCGTCACAAGCCACCATCTATCAAACCAGCTGGCCTGCTGCAGCCTGTCCGAGTGCCGGCGACACCATTTGTACAAATTGGCATGGATTTTCTGGGCCCCTTCCGAAAGTCTGCCACTGGAAACAGGTGGATAATCGTCGCCACGGATTACCTTACCCGATACGTGGAGACAGACGCTCTGCCGCTGGCAACACCAGCTGAAGCGGCGCAATTTTTCATCGAAGCCATCGTCTTAACACACGGCGCTCCCGCAATAGCCATCAACGACAGAGGTACTGCGTTCATGGTCGAGCTTTTGAACACCATTCTCCGACTAAGTGGTACAGCTCAGAGGAAGACAACGGCGTATCCACAGACCGACGGGCTCACCGAACGCCTCAACAAGACCCTGGCTGACATGATAAGCATGTACGTAGATGTAGAGCACAAGAACTGGGACGTCATTTTGCCCTACCTCACGTTCACGTACAACACGATTCGTCAGGAGACCACTCGGAAGACACCCTTCAGTCTCCTTTACGGACGCGAGGTTACGACAACGTTAGACGCAATGCTCCCTCATGAAAATCATGGGAATGAGACGGGCGCCGAAGGGTTTACCCAGCTAGCAGAAGAAGCCAGACAGCTTGCTAGGTTGCGAATCACCAAACAACAAGATGACAATGCTAAACATTACAACCTCCGGCACAGACCCGTCATATACGACGTGGACGACAAAGTATGAGTCTGGACACCTATTCGTCAGCGTGGGCTCTCCGAAAAGCTGTTGCGAAGATACTTCGGACCCTACAAGGTTCTGCGACGCATCAGTGACGTCAACTACGAGGTTGTTCCGGATGGCGTGCAGTTTTCGAAGCACCGCAGACATTCACTAGAAATTGTCCACGTGCTTCGGATGAAACTTTATTTTCAGTAACTAACTGTGCTGTTGTATGTGTGTTGTCGCCTTGCTTCTCGAACGTTCAACATCGGGGCAATGTTTTTTTTAAGGGGGAATAATGCCGCGCGTATGTGCCAATGGTGGCGAGAACGAAACAGCGTGAATGTCCTTTAACGAGTGAAAAACACGAAGAAGTCGTTGCAGTTTTTTTCCTGCGATCAATAAAGCGTATTTGTTCGAGGCCCTTTGTGTGCTCGTCAATCTCACGTCGTCACAATAGATAGATAGATAGATAGATAGATAGATAGATAGATAGATAGATAGATAGATAGATAGATAGATAGATAGATAGATAGATAGATAGATAGATAGATAGATAGATAGATAGATAGATAGATAGATAGATAGATAGATAGATATGCAAAAACACAGCACATTCATGGAGTTAATGATGATGAGTTCAGCGAAGCGTCTGTCAGTCCGTCCATGCTTCCGTTCGTCCATTCATTCTTGCTTCCGTCCGTCCGTGCGTCCATCCACGCACCCGTCCAACCATGCGACCGTTTCTCCGTCCGTCATTATATTCATTCGTCCATTCATGCGCGCGTCCATTCGTGCGTCTGTCCGTCTATTTAGTGAACACTCCAAGTACCGCCATGTCGCATCTTTTCATCATATATTCATCATATAGAAGTACTGCCATATAGCAGATATTCCAAGTACTAAAGAATACGTGGCTACCCAATACTATGACATCTACTACGACTACTACTACTACTACTACTACTACTACTACTACTACTACTACTACATACATACATACACACATACATACATACATACATACATACATACATACATACATACATACATACATACATACATACATACATACATACATACATACATACATACATACATACATACATACATACATACATACATACATACATTGGGGACACGTGACGCATGGCTTAAGAAACTTCGCGCCTAAAAAGTGCCCCCCCAGCGTAAGTATAGCATTTTCTTTTGCTTGTTCATCTTAAAACTACACGAATGCCATCTGCTTTATAACATCTGCATTGGTTTATTCTACCAACATTCATCACCTAGCGGTGAATCCTGGAACGAGGTGGCTGCGTACTACATACATCAGGGACGACCGACCCACACCTTTAGGAGCTTCGCCCCTAAAAATTTCCAGAATGTCGCATTGTTTTACGCACGAGTGTGGTATATTCGCGAAGGCTATGCGATGGTGACGCGTGTCCTTGACCGGATATTGGTTAACAGAGGTTGATTAGGCGGCTGCTTAGCGTCCATCGTATCAAACGCTCGACAGTCACCCAGGCATCATGACATTGACGAGTTGAACTGGGGCCTCCTCAGAATTGACGAGTTTTGATTCGAGTTCACACGTCAATCAGTTTGATTGACAGACACTCGTGGTGAAGATCGGATCCGCCCACCACTTTGATCTTCCTGAGGAGCAGTACTAACTCACGCCGCAACGCCAGTGAGTGGCATGATTCGACTATCAGCTTTATCGCGCTGACGATGCACACAAGTACGCCGAAGTTATATCATCACGTGTCTACTACATATCGCGTTCAATTTCACCGGCGCTCACGACATATCTACTCACAGCCGCGTTGCCCCCATGATGCGAGCACCCTTGGTGAAAACCCGTTCATATACTTATCTGCAATATTTCATAGAAGCGAAACAAGCAGCGCGAGAGTGATGCATGCGCGATCTTGCGGCCCTCAAGAGCGGAATTTCAGTTGCTGCAAGTGGAACAAAAAAAAAACTTGCTCGAAAGAGGACACACGCCCACGCGCATGCATGCCTGTGGGAGGCGATGTTGAGTTGGCAAAAAGATAGCGTGACAATCAAGCTGACGGTCCTGCGCTGCCAAAATGTTGACTGTGTGGCAGCGCCTACGGGTACGCACGCGTTGCTTCTTTTATAACATTCGCAAATGTCCAACACACGTTTTGACGTCACGCACGTTCTTCTAGTCCTTTTTTATAAACGCTGCTGTCACGCGCCCCGCACGGTCTTGATACCATGGTCGCAGTAGAGCGAGCTCGCTCTATGGCGTCTGCCCAAGGAGCTCGAAACATCCGGCATAGTACTCTTGATCAGGCATTGAAGAGGGGCTGTCTACAATGAAACAGAGGTAACCTACAAAAGCAAAATGGGCTTACTAGAAAGAATTTTATAACAAGGCCCACTTTGCTTGTCTTTCGAGAGCCACACCTCAGCATGGCTTTCATTGATTTGCCCACAAAAAGAAATTGATTATTGTTTCATGCGCAAGCTCCCGTACGATAAAGCCGCCTGCTTCATATTTTGATTTGTTCAATTTCATCACTTGTTAGCTATCATTCGTGGCACGCTACGTATATCCTGAAATAACCGAGCTAAGCCACTGCTATTTTTGCCTAATAGCAATGCGTATTTTGAATAAAATAAATATTCTGAATATTGGCACTTGTTCGTGTTATTTTTGTTTTCCTGCATTCGTGTTTTCCCCTCGCTGTTGGGCATTTACTGATGATGAACAACGAACTCGCTGAAACACTGACGTTAATTGAAGTGATGTTTTTCATATTTGTTTAATAGGTGGTCAGCAACTCTACAGGCCAAATACAGGGCGCCCCACGCGATCGCTGAAATGCATTCTGAACATTGCTGTTTGGCGATAGGTTCTCGCATATGCGAGACTTGTTTTATGCGCACAATGATACACATTGACAGTATGTTGTTCAAGTGAGAGCCATCTTCAAGAAATGCAATCTCTAAAAGGCTTCACTGACAATGTTCTATTTTTTTGCATTTGTTTGCCCCAGACTACAATCTATTCGCGTAGCTCACGTGTATTTCATTTTGGCAAGTGGTGTTTGCCCAGCGGATAAGACACTGATTTTATGCGTAGGACCTTGAGTCTAAAATGTTTCAACGGAATTTGCTTTATCACACATTTACTGCAGTGTAAGTTTCACTCGCCGTGGCTGAGCAGTTCTCGGTGCCTCTAGAAAACTACGCTGCGCATCCTCGAGGAGCAGTGACGTTACACATTGCACAGCTGGTGCGCATCGGTGGTCTGTGCATTTCAAAGGAGCGATGTCAGCTGCGACAGACGCAATCTGATGCGCATTTTGATGGTATGTTGTGGCTCGTGCAATTCAAGCAACGCTGGTTCCTTCTTCTAGGTTTAAAAATAAACGTGGAACTAATTTTATCCTTCGGAGGGATTACACTAGGTTATAGCCACAGGGAGCTTTTCTCTGTTGTGTGCGAGTACATAAGGGCAACAAAGAGATTACCCTGTTAGCCTATTGTTATTATTTACGGCTACGAGACTACCTGAATTCCTGACTGAACACACTTGATGATCCTGCCGCCCGGTTCTTGGCCGATCCCTCTTTGTGGGCGAGTGCCAGCAAATCCGAAGGTCCATCATCATCATCATCATCATCATCATCCTTCTTCTCTGGTCACGTCTGCCATGGCACTATATACATAGTGGTGCGTTAAGCAGTATGATAAATTCATGAATAGTGAGAGCGAAATTGCTGCTCAGTGGCTCAGAAGGTAGGAGAAGCTTAACGTATTAGATCCCAAAGTAGTTGCCTGGCAATTAGCGGTTCAGCCCAGGAAGAACGAAAGGAAGAAGGCTAAGTTTGCTGCCGAAGCACCGGAGTGAAGCGAGAAAATTGGCGTCACCAGAAAGCTGAGCAACGTGCCTGAGCATATCAACAGCAGCAACAAAACACCGTCAATGACGTCATGGCTCAACGAAAGCTCACGCTACGTACTTCCTTGCACAGCCGAACTAAGCCACCACTAACTTTTTTTATTCCTTAATTGCAATAAGTCTTATTTTGTAGGTAGAGGGACACTTAAGTTTCTCAATCAACCGGCATTCAAACGCTTATGCATTGCAACTTTCGGTAATATTAGCATAACTCACCGGCTGTCCACAGGCAGCATCACATCTTTCACTTCTGAAAATGAGAAGAAACATGTTTGATCTCTCCGTCATTGCATATGGTATAACAGGGGAGTAAAACACGTCTTTACATAAGTAGTTAGATGTCTACTATTCATTGGTGTAAAACAGCTTGCACGAAGTCTGTTGGTGTTTATCAGCTATAGCAATGTTTAGCGTGGATGCCCCGTTGTTGACGCTCCATGGTACATGTCCATCCCGATGACTAACGTACATCATTAATGATTAAGCAAACCTTTGTTACAGCTGTAATAGTTAGAGATAACACCGTAACCGGTGGAAGTGCTGTGATCGCCAGGTGAGCGTCTCTTATTGGACTCAGAACTCAGATTGAGGTCACCATGCCGCGGCATGTTAGACTTATGGAACGCCATTACTGGACTCAAGCTATAAGAAAGGTGCACTGTCTTTCTGTTCTAGCCCTGCCGCGATGTTCGTCGGGGAGAGTTAAAGCGGGGAACAGCCAGGTGAGGCATGCGCGCGTCACAGACCTCTTTCTCGTATGATGCTATGAGCGAAAACGACGTTTTGGCTAAAGTACCCACCACACGGTGTGTCAAGGCATTGAAAATTTGCACTTCTTCCGTTGAAAACGCGCCGAATGAGATGGGCACGCAGCATCAATGCGCTGCAGTAACTGTGGAAGCCATAATTATGAAGAATTGCTTCATTTCACCACTCTTAGAGTGCGACACCAACCCACCGACAACGAGCACCGGCTCCCGCATTCCCACTCCCAATGCAGAATAAAAAAATGGCAGCATATCCACGGAGTGAATAATGGAGAGTGGGGCGAAGCATCAATCCGACCATTCATTCTTGCTTCCGTCCGTCCATGCGTCCATCTGTGTGGCCGTTTGTGCATCCATTCGCCCGTCCATGCGTGCGTCTGTTCATGCGTCCGCACGTCCATCTGTGCGTCCGTCCATGCGTTCGTCCATGCATCCGCCTCTGCGTCCGTCCATGCGTCCATCCGTCGGTGCAGCCATCCATGAGTCCGTCCATGCATCTGTCTGTGTGTCCGTTCGTCAATCTATTCAACGCTCCAGGTACCACCATCTCGCATCTTTTCATCATATGGATGGATGGATGGATGGATGGATGGATGGATAGATGGATGGATGGATGGATGGATGGATGGATGGATGGATGGATGGATGGATGGATGGATGGATGGATGGATGGATGGACGGACGGACGGACGGACGGATGAATGGATGGATGGATGGATGGATGGATGGATGGATGGATGGATGGATGGATGGATGGATGGATGCGGCTGTACCCTTTAGATGGGGCGGTGGCTAGCGCCACCAAGCCGTAATACTTAATGAACCAAAAGCTAGATCTATTTTTTCCTTTAAATAGTGAGGTTGAGGATTTGTACTTTGCAATGATATTAAATTTTCACTCGTGTCTTGCCTTTAGCCACCAATCAGATAACCTCCTTCTAGTTAATTCTACCCGCTTAAAGACCATTTTGCCCTCCCTGTCCCTAAAGTCCAATGCTTTGAAAAACTCTGCATATATTCCGCATATGCACCGCCATCCAGCGGACTTTCGAAGGACTGAATGAGAGGTGGCACACGCACACTTTTTTATGGCTTGCGATTCGTGTCTACTTTCCACCTTTAACCACCTCGAGTTCGTGGTATATACTAGTTCACTGTATTCATGGCACTGCGCCCCAACGCTCGCTAAGCTATTCCAAAACCAAGGAGGTTATGCCCAGCGAGTATAACGTTGCAACCCTTTCTTGTCAGATAGTTCTCAATGTGCATGCCAATGGCTGCTAAGGAGGAATGAGAGACAGAAGAATTTGGCTTTTAGTTAACGCGCACGCTGCGAATTTTTTATTTTTCAACAACGGACAGAAGAAATCTCTCACCGGCACCACCTTGGAGGTGAAAATGTAAGACTGGTTACACACTACGACTACTACTACCACTACGAGAGACGAACGGGTGCCGCTATAAGGAGCTTCGCCCCTAATAAATGTTATTCCTTTCCTTCCACCTGTGACGAGAAAATGCTAGATATAAAAAGCGCGTTTCTAAAGTCATGAAAGCACAGAACACCTACACACTACATGAGAGTCAGTGATCATGACGCAGTGAAAGCGTGCCTAATGTCCGTTGCTGTGGATCGAGAAGTCAAAGAGTTCGACTTCCGTTGACGAAATTCTTTCTTTGTCATCATGTTAGTTTTTTTAGGGGCGAAGCTCCTTACGCCATGGGCCATACGTCCCGTGTTTGTAGTTGTAGCCACCTCTCGTCTAGTCCTTGGGAAATCCGCTGGATTGCGGTAATTCTATAGGATGAATATATAATGAAAAGATGCGAGATGGCGGTACTGCAGGTGTTCACTAAATGGATGGATGGATGAATAGACAGACGTTTCACCCCAATCATCATCGTTCACTCCGTGGATATGCTGTGATATTTTTCGACGCCCTATCCGTGATTGAAATGCATCACTGAGGGCTTCGTTGACCCAGGCATAAAACACATTCGCAACAAAAGTATATCGTATGGCAGCTCCACTACCGTGAAATCTAAGGAAGTGCTTCGCCCAGGCAAATCTTCCACAACGTTCCCACTTATGCATGTGCCGAAGCGTCTATTACGCTAGTGTTTGATGTATACATGTAGGGTTTCCACGCCAGCACGAGTAGGTTCTTGTTAGGCAGATTCACGTACTCGGTATACGGCATGTGTACTACTCTTTCCGGCGCTTTATCGACTTCAATCTGGTTGTTTCTCCCACCAAATGAAGCTTAGTGCATCGTGACCGTGCAGCGCCTATATGCAGAGGTGGCGGTAGCATCCCTTCTCACGCGCTGCAGGAGTCAGCGCCATGTTTGCGAAATGCTTTAGCAACTTTTATTCGGTTGATGCGATCACTTCTTAGTTATCTCTGTTAAATATGTTATTTTAGACCTTGGTTGTCCATTTTAACCCCAGTTTGAGCACTGCTAGCCTTGTTATTTTCTAAAGTAAACACTTTACTATGAGCGGGATCACGCAACATGAGACCTACGAATAGACGACAAGTCGGACGCCTGAAATACCCCACACTAAATGACAGGGATCTTGTCGTAAAAAGTGGCGCTTCAAATTTTTATTCGTCTGAGTATATATATATAGTGGGTGGTGACTTGGTGGGCGAATCAGCTGAGGACTTTCTGAATAGGGAACATTTCTTAGTCACACGATGTCGTGCTTCGGCGTCACGCTTCGACGATGAGCACCCTTCAGTGTTGTTGCACAGTCCTCGTATACTCGCAACACTTATGTCTAGTGCATGATAATTTCTTGTTTAGCGCGTACCACAGATTATTCATACCGATCATAGTGACAGAAAGGCGATCGTAGCACTGCCCCCAATAAAAAGGACGTCTCTGAATGCTCTGAAACAAGCAATAGTGCAACACCTTTGGAGAAGCTGTATGAAAAAAATTTGCACGGTAATATCAAACTTCGAGATACAATTTTCTGCATCAATCTGCCCCCAATTAAACAAATCGAAGATATCGAGTGTTAAACTTCAATCTAGAGGCTCAAGCAATGCATAAGAGCAAGTTTACACGTTACTGCGACAGGCATTAAAGTAACGTCTAATGTTGTCGCGTGCTCGTAGTAAAAAAAAATAGCTGATTCCTTCTTCATTTGAATCGGTGTAACACAAAAGTAAACGTGTCTTCAGAGAAGTAGTCAAATGCTTACTGTTAATTGGTATAACAGAGCCTATAGAAGGTCTGTTGGCGTTTGTCTCAAACTTCCTGGTAAAACATTCACCACGACCTCACAATATTGAACGCAACAGCGAGACACTACAAATGTACGTGTAAATTCACATTAACCCGAACAAAGCAATAAGAATTATACAATTGTACGTGGAACACAATGAGAGTCTATCAAAATATTTACAAATAGCAAGAAAGACGTTCTTCTATCGAAGTATATAACATAGGTGATGAATACATACGAAAAAGCCACAAGGGCTAGGATCATGACGACAACTAAAGTGCCAGAAAGACCCATGTTGATGCGATATGTCGCTATATTCGCTTGTGAAACGTGCAGTTGGCCATGCACATTTATATGCGGAGCACTGAAGTCCTAAAAAGCACGAAATAGCTCTCGGTATTCCAGCAAACGAAGCGGGTCATCTTATTTTGAAAACATATTCAGTTCTGACAGAAGAAGACACGACGCATGGGAAAGTCAACAAACGGCGCATTGTGTTGTCTCGGTGTGTATTGTGTTGTCGTCTGCCATCACTGAATATGTTTTCATGACAGAATACCCAACGCGCCCCATATATAGGGCGATTCCCTTCGGAGTTTATTTTTAGGGTGCAGGGCAGGCTTTGAGAGCTGCAGCTTTTCTGTTTGCAAGGAAGCTCGTTGCCTTGAAGTATGGTGGGTAACGTTAGTAGCACTGCCCTTGAGCTGGTACAAGCGTGGTCCGTGTCAGTTCTGATAGCTAAGAACATCAGGTGACGCAATGCTTAGATAATCTTTTCAGAAAAACGTCCTCTCTGGCAATAAAGAACACATTTTTACCTTGGAACCTAGTTACTTTGTACGTCATTTATTAAAATCTTGAGCGGCAGGCTGTAAATGACAGCTAGATGTTCGTTTATTAAATTAACCACCTTCATACTCAAAGCAACCTAAGTACAAAAAAATGCCGGTCCTTCGCGAAAAGCACGATGCAGTCACAGCGAAAGCTGAAGAGGGCAGATGGAGAGAATAAATTTAATAAAACACAGCAAGTAACAAGCGACGTAACACATTGAGTTCCCGGAAAATGCCGACGTTTGTGCATTACTCGTTATAAGTCCGAAATGGTAACAACTATGTTACTCAACTGCGTTACAACTTACGCGCTACTGATAACAGCGTTGATTGTAGCTCATAACCGCAGGCACTCATTATAATAAAACTTCATTTGGGCCTAGTTGGTGCATATGCGTGAACTAAATTTGACAGTGCTTAAACAGAAAAGAAAACGAACGACACACACGGGCCTAGTTGCCGCATATTCGTGATCTAAATTTAACAGCGCAAAAAACAGAAAAGGAAAGAAACGACACACACAAGCATTGATTTCAGCTGCACTGCGCGCCACAGCATGCAGAATTCAAAGCACAGCTCGCACTTAACACTCGGTGGCTATCTCTATTTTCAGAAGCATGTTTACAGGCCCGCTGCGTGCACACAGCTTGGAGATACGACCTCACACGGTAGGCGGGCATAATAGAAACATCGCGCAACGTATGGGCACGATGCTTCATTGAATTTCCGCTGTGGCTTTCGTACGGCGGTCACATGGACCTTCGGAAAAAGATATCGAACGTATAAATAGTTGCACCCACTTTAATGATACTATAACATTAAGAACATCTTATTGTTCTCACCGATAAGTGTTTTAAAAGGGTTCTAGGCAAAAAGCGAAATATCGGGACGGCAGGTTGTTAGGAGATCTCTATAATATCGGATGGGATACGCCTTGCCAGTTGCATAATATGGTTAACAGAGCTGCCTATTTCTCGGATATGCTCAAAAATTCGGGGTTTTCACGGCACCACCGCAAGCTCTAGGGATTCAGTGTACGAATGCCTGAAATTTTGGAGACTGCAACTCTTCGAAGCCTCAATTTCCGACTTTCCCACTGAACTGCATATCAAAGAGTGCGGAAATTCTAGTAAATCTCACGCATGAGGGGATCATTTTATGCGAAACAAGCGGCGAGCATTTCATGCCACCCCTTTTTTTCTGTTCTGTTTAGGTCTTGCGTAACTAGGTGGGTAGACGGTTTTTTTGTATTTGTGTAACCCGAATTTATTTGAAGTATGCTCGCGGGTACCACCAGGGTGAGTGTTAGAATCACTATAGTTCTTTATTTACGCTATATGGTGTAACTTGTGGAAGAAGGCGTGAAAGTGCGTTTATATGCTGATGACCAAGTTGTGTATACGTTTGTGCGTGACGCTGACAATCAGAAGCTTCTAAATGCCTCTCTAAATCAAATGACTGTGTGATGCGAAACCAGAGGTATGGAAGTAAACTTTAACATAACAAAGTACATGAATATAAGCAATAGGAAATTACCGTTTACATTCAGGTATGAAATGGCGGGCTCTCACATCACACGAGCAGGATCTACAAAGTATTTCGGTATAACCATCACAAGCAACCTTAAGATGAACGTTCATATTGAGAACATATTGCAAAACCATTTAAGACACTTAGGTTTCTGCGCAGAATGTTGGCTGTGGCTCTTGCATTCGTTAAATTAGCAGCCTGTAAAACTCTAGCGCGTCCTAATCTTCTTTATGCCAGTACAGTTTGGAATCCTTATCAATGTCAGCCTAAAGTGAACGAAAAAGGTCTAAAATGGTATAGTCAACAAAAATAACTAAGAAGACATCGTTACAATAAAGTGCATATTGGTAAACAAAAATCACAGAAAATCCACGAGGGGAATGATGACGAGAGGGCAAAGTTCCGGAGGATCATTAATCCCCATAGATTGCCCACTCTACATCCAAAGACCTTACAACAGGTGAGCACAGTATATACAAAGTTGTTTAAAAATCACAATGCTAACTTGCTAACTTTGGGGTAGTAATGATTTGTCACATATGTTACAACCCTGGTAGTAAGCGCAGTTAGTAACAGCGAGGGTGGCAACAGTTACTACCTTTGCTGTTACTACTAGCGTTTAGTAACTGTCACTGCCCTAGCCGGTACCATCCATGGGTAGTAACTTTTAAAGGTTCCAAGAAAAAAATATAATTGATACTACCCTCTTCATCATCATCATCATCATCATCGTTAGCCTGACTACGTTCACTGCAGGACAAAGGCCTCTCCCATGTTCTGCCAGTTAACCCGGTCCTGTGCTTGCTGCTGCCAATATATACCCCAAACTTCTTAATCTTATCTGCCCACCTAACCTTCTATCTCCCCCTAACCCGCTTGCCTTCTCTGGGAATAGAGTCAGTTAATGACTTAATGACCAGTGGTTATCCTGTCTACGTGCTACATGCCCGGCCCATGTCCATTTCTTCTTCTTGCTTTCAGCTATGATATCCTTGACCCCCGTTTGTTCCCTAATCCACTCTGCTCTCTTCTTGTTTCTTAAGATTGCACCTACCATTTTTCTTTCCATTGCTCCCTGCATCGTCCTCAATTTAAGCTGAACCCTCTTTGTAAGTCTCCAGGTTTCTGCTCCGTAGCTATGTACCGGCAAGATACAGCTATTATATACCTTCCTCTTGAGGGATAGTGGCAATCTACCTGTCGTAATTTGAGAGTGCTTGCCAAATGTGCTCCACCCCATTCTTATTCTTGTAGTTACTTCAATCTCGTGGTTCGGCTCCGCGGTTACTACCTGCTCTAAGTAGACATAGTCTTTCACAACTTGAAGCGCAATATTACCGATCTCGAAGAGCTGCTCTTTTCAGAGGTTGTTGTACATCACTTTCGTTTTCTGCAGATTCATTTTAAGACCCACCTTTCTGCTCTCCTTGTCTAACTCCGTAATCATGAGTTGCAATTCGTCTCCTGAGTTACTCAGCAATGCAATGTCATTGGCGAAGCGCAGGTTACTAAGGTGCTCTTCATTAACACTTATCCCTAACTGTTCCCATTCTAGGCTTCTGAAAACCTCCTGTAAGCACGCGGTAAATAGCATTGGGGAGATTGTGTCCCCCTGCCTTACACCCTTCTTGATTGGTATTCTGTTGCTTTCTTTATGAAGCACTATGGTAGCAGTTGATCCCCTGTAGATTTCTTCCAGGATGTTTATATATACTTCATCGACGCCCTGATTCCGCAGTGTCTGCATGACGGCTGATATTTTTACTGAATCAAACGGCTTCTCGTAATCTATGAAGGCTATGTATAGTGGTTGGTTATATTCCGAGCATTTCTCTACCTGATTGATAGTATGAATGTGGTCGATTGTTGAGTAGCCTGTTCGAAATCCTGCTTGTTCCTTTGGCTGATTGAATTCGAGTGTTTTATTTACTCTGTTAGCAATTACCTTTGTAAATAGCTTGTGAACTACAGAAAGCAAGCTGATCGGCCTGTAATTCTTCAAGTCCTTGTTATCTCCTTTCTTATGTATTAAGATGATGTTAGCGTTCTTCCAAGACTCTGGTACTCTTCTCGTCAGGAGACACCTCGTAAAGAGGGTGGCTTGTTTTTCTAACAATATCTGTCCTCCATCTTTCAGCAGATTTGATCTTACCTGATCCTCACCAGCAGCTTTGCCTCTTTGCATGCTCTCCGAAGCTTTTCTGACTTCTTCTATCATTACAGATGGGGTGTCATCTGGGTTATGCTAGTTCTTATAGTATTAAAATCGTGGTTGTCCCAGCTACTGTGCCGATCTGTGTAAAACTCCTCTGCCATTTTAACTATCCTATCCATATTAGTAGTTATTTTGCCTTCTTTCTCCCTTAGTGCATATATCCGATTTTTGCCTATCTCAAGCTTCCTTTTCACTGCTTTGACGCTTCCTCCGTTTTTCAGAGCGTGTTCAATTCTACCCATGTTATACCTTCTTACATCGAATACCTTACGCCTATAATCAACTTCGAAAGCTCTGCCAGTTCTATTTTGTCTGTTGTACTTGAGACTTTCATGATTTGACGCTACTTAATGAGATTCTTCGTTTCCTGGGAAAGCTTGCCAGTGTCCTGTCTAACTACCCTGCCTCCAACTTCCACTGCACACTCCGTAATGATACTCGTCATATTATCACTCATTGTATCTATGCTAAGGTTGGTTTCCTCACTAAGAGCCGAGTACCTGTTCCGAAGCGAGACTCTGAATTCATGTGCTTCCCCTCTGAGTGCTAGCCCATTGATTGGCTTCTAGCGTATCAGTTTCTGTCGTTCCTTCCTCAAGTCTAGGTGAATTCGAGACCGTACCCTTCTATGGTCACTGCATCGTATCTTGCCAACCACTTCCACATCCTGCACGATGCTTGGGTGTGCACTCGTTATAAAGTCTATTTCGTTTTTATTTTCGCCATTAGGGCTCCTCCATGTCCACTTGCGGTTTCCTCATTTTCGGTAGAAGGTATTCGAAATCCGTAAATTATTGCGTTTTGCGAATTCTACTAGTAGCTCTCCTCTGGCGTTTCTAGTACAGATGCCATAATCTGCTATTGCCTGGTTTCCAGCATGCTTCTTTCCTACCTTTGCATTAAAGTCTCCTATCAGCATTGTATACTATGTTTTTACCTTACTCAATGCTGATTCTACGTCTTCATAGAAGCTTTCAACTCAAGCGTCATCATGGCTGGATGTAGGCGCGTAAGCCTTTACCACCTTCATCTTGTATCTCTTATTCAGTTTAATTACAATACCTACCACCCTTTCAGTATTGCTATAGTATTCCTCTATGTTTCCAGCTATGTTTCTGTGAATTAGGAACCCCACTCCCAGTTCTCTTCTGTCAGCCAAGCCCCGATAGCAAAGGACATGCCCATTCTGTAGCACCGTATAGGCCTCATCTGGCCTCCTAACCTCACTGAGCCCTATTATATACCATTTAACACTCTCTAGCTCCTCAAATAGTAGACCTAGACTTCCCTCACTAGATAAGGTTCTAGCGTCAAACGTTGCCAAGTTCAAGTTCTAATGGCGGCCTGTCCAGATCCAGAGATTCTTAGCACCTTCTGCTGCTTTGCAGATCTGACCACCACCGTGGTCAGTTGCTTCGCAGCTGCTTGGGACTGAGGGCCGTGAGTTATTTGACGTATGCATGTGGGAGGTAGAGGCCAGATACTGCACCAGGGTGGCCAATCTTTCTCTGGTGAGGGAGTGCGTTCCTGGCGGTGGTTACCGGTGAGGCCGCACCCCAGGCCTCGTAATGCAGTTCCATCACTACGTGGGTTTTTTTTATCCGGTTGGGAACTGGGCGCCACCGGGATTTGAACCATGGACATTTGCGTGCGAGGCGAATGCTCTAACCCCTACGCCATCGCTGCTCCCTAGAACAGCATAGTATGCCTTTTACAGCTCTTAAGTGCTCCAACTCCTACACACACTTCCAAATAAGCAATCAGAACTGAAGATTGACCAGAAAGTACACTAATTAGTTGTCTCTTCATATAATATGTAAGGCGTATTCTCGCATCTACAAGAAAAATAATGAAAACATAGTAACCCCCAAAGTCAAAATTTGTCTGATCGGGGAAGAATACATCAATCATGAACACATGGTGCCAAGGGAGAAAATGTGCACATTAAAAGATATTTCAGCTCCTGCATGAGAGCTTTGACAGCAACAGCAAGAACGTCACCTTCATTCATTTATAAGGCCATTGTATCACTTTTTACAGGCAGTGCACATAAACGGAGAAAAGGTAATCGGTTCTGTTTTGTGCGTAACATAGCTGACACAAACATCGGTCCAACACAAATTCGTAAAATTCCCACTGTGTCCAATGGGCCATAATTTGAATGTTCCAAACCCTTCTGCATGCCTCCCCGTGCGATACGATATTGGGTGCAGATATCGTTAAGCGACAACTGACAGCAGCATGCTCAGGAAGCACGCCTGCAGCCAGCGCCCAGAGACTGAAAACGGAACTATTGTTTGCCGCAACTGCTGCGAACACAACTGCACGGTCGCTGTCGACACAATCCTCTGTGGCAGCGACGACAGCTACGAAAGTACAGGCGTACCAGTGCTCACCAAGTCATTAGCTGCAAGCGAGGTAGACATTATCATAAACAGCAGCAAACAGTTCTAAAGGCACAGGCACTGTTAGCGTACACAAATTTAAATCAGAACTACCGCTAGCCGCAACTGCGGTAGCTGCGGTAGTTATTCAAAAAACTGCAGTAGCTATCCATGTGAGCATTGACAGCGACTAATAAGCAGCTGTTCATACCTATGCGGCTGATGCGGCAGTAGACTAAACGCACCGAAGCTTTAGTTTAACCTCAAAGAAACATAGCAACATTCTTTCAGCGTGGTTCGCAAATGCTCCTGATTGGTATTCGAGTCTTCTGAGAACACGTGAGCCAAACATTACATCGCTGCAAGTGGTCTGAAATTTGCAATTGATTCTCAAAACCCATTTCAAATTGCTCCCTCTTAATCCGAGAGTGATGCCGTAAATCCAAATCACCGTGTCAAAAACCCAATACCCACAGCCATTCAGCTGATTTGAGCATCGTGAACTGCATAGTTACCAAGGCCACTGCAAGATGCCACCACATGCCCGCGATCATATAGAAAGTAAGCCATAGGTAATGATGTGCAGTGAAGAAAGAATGCACATTCTAGCCTCTTTGTCATGCCATTCCCAGCATAGCATTCAGCTAGCTTCCTAGCATCAAAGGAAAGAGAAAGCGTTTGATCAACAATTAATTAGGAAAGTGTGATAGGGCCTTTTCAGATGAAGCTCGGACGCGGGTATCCACGGCAGCCAGCTTCATTCATTCGCATGTGTCCCAGATAGACATATGCGAGTTCTCTCTACCCAAAATAAACATTTTGTTCATATATCACTATTTGAAAACATGTTTCACTAGTTTTATAAAAGTGAAACTGTTTAAACCAGATGTAAAGTGTCAAACCTGCCACCACCATCATCACAAATGGGTATGCACCACAGATTTTGGGCAAATCCCACTACTCCGCTTAATAGAATGCTTTGTTGGGCGTGTTGGTTTCTTCTCAAATAGATTTGAATGCAAACGAACAAGATGTAAGAAGAGAAGACGTTTACAAGAGTGCTCATACAGTCTTTTTTTGCGCGACCCAGTGCAATCATTAACATTTTTTTATGAGAAAGTTGGTTCATATGAATATTTCTGCTTGTTTTGAGATCAGTATCACTTATATTTTACTGTAATAAATTATTTCTAAATGAAGATGTGGAAAAAGTATCTGTCCCATTTAAGCAATTCCTCTTGATCGAGATTATACAGTACCAGTAAAAAAAAGAGTAATGCTCACTCCTGCAGCACAGATGCTGGGCTATTCGGAACAGAATTCCGTACAGAGCCAAGCAAATGTTTACTCAAATCTCCAGTGCCATCTTCAGTTCCAGACTCCATATGCTGCGAGGCATCATCTTTCATGTCTGACTCAGTGCCACTGGGTGTCTCGGGCGTCTTTGTTCTTGCATCATCTATGGATGATTTGTCATCCTTCAACTTATCATCGTCATCGTCTTCACTCTGTGTCTCATACATGGTCTCTCCACCTGGTGATGGTGAGCTCACTGTTCCAGGGGACCAGGCATCTTTAGATTCTTCTGCATCATCTTCGTCTTCATCAGCTGTAAGCTGAGGATCTTTCTGCAGATCGTCTACTGGTGTCTGTTCATCCCTCTTCATATATTTTGGCATATAATTTCTCTGTTACTAATGATGGTCAAACATTGTCTCATTACTTCAGAACTTCAGGTAATCTAGCATAGTGTACCATGACCGCGAATAATACATAAGCTTAAAAAATTAACCATTTCTTACGCACACAGTTGCAGCACTCGTGGGGTATATATAGCCCCTACTTTGCAGGTGCATGTCTGGCACAGGGGAGCGCTTCCATTTCAGGATGAATTATAGAAAATGTGAACATATAGCACTAATTATATTAACTGGTTACGTGTGTTTGGGGACGTAGCTCAAGACTTTTATGTAGCCTTAGTTATAAAAATGTTATTTCATATCTATTTATTGTAAAAGGGCCACGAAAAGGCGTTTACAGTGGCCGAAACAAGGGTTCGAATTAATTCTCAGTGCATTTAATGCTTCACACGGTTAATATACGAGCAGTTAAAAGGTATTAATCGTTTTTGGCGTTTGACGCGTCAAGGCAATGATAACATTTGGAGACACGTCACAGTGGATTAATTGTGACCATCCTCGGGGCTAATTATGACCCTTTGGTTATTTCGATCCGCCAGCCTTGTTAATTTGCTATAATTTACTAAGTTTGTTGTATCTATCTATTACAACGCGTGTAGCACTTGCTTATGGTTCGTTAACTTGTACTTCTCAGTTTCTACAATAGTTTACATATCTCGGTTGTGTGATTTAAAACAAACTGCATTTTCTTGGTCAATAGATATTTTCTGTCATTTTTTCGTTTAATGATGATACGTCGAGAAGATTCCGCTCATAAATCATCAAAACTTGAATCACTCACTATTTTGGATAAGACAGTCAACAGCCGGGTAGCAAAAAGGTAGTAATGGGGCAATAAAGGTAGTAACGGCTGCAGTTACTACCTCTTTGATTCTAGTTAATAGCTTTTTACTAACATAGGTAGTAAACAGGTCACAAAAGGTAGTAACGGTTACAGCTAGTAACTGTTAACTAAGGTAGGTAGTAAACAGATAGAAAAGAATAGTAACAGTGCCAGAAAGGTAGTAACCGCTGCAGTTACTACCTATTTGCTTGCAGTTGCTACCTTTTCACTAAATTTTTTAAGAGTGTATGGTGTTAAGGCGTCCGTATAGATATTCATATGAATACCCGTATGTATATCCATATCATTCCTTTGCTTTATAAATATCTATGCGCACCTTCTTTGTGCTTTTTTGTGGTTCTTTTCCTCTTTGTGTGATGCGTTCTACCTATAGATTTGTTGTAATTTACACCAGGGTATGCAATTTTCTGGTGCACTGATCTAGTCAAGCTTTCTCAGACTTTTCTAAGATGTTGAATAAAATAGAATTGAAAAAAAATATGGTGTTGAGAAGTCGATATGGATGTTCATAAGGATATTCATATTCATAAGGATATCCATATTGGCATGGATATTCATAGTGTGTCACGCCGACGGACAGGAGACATGTCTTAACCCAAAGGAGTTTCGTCCCTATAACGTATAGGAAGCTTACTTGTGACTCCAGGACCAGTTTAGAGAGGGCGCCATCCCCTCGATGAATGAGTGAGTGCTCCTCCTATTACGCTTCACCAGCGCTGCATCGCAACACTAGATGGCGGAAACTCTACCTGATGGAACCGTGTGCAGACAACGCGTATCTCAACCGCCGTGACAAGCAAGAAGCTTATGAAGCACTAAAAGAAATTATCCCCTTATCTGCGTTACTGGTAAATTCGTCGAAAGACGATAGTCTTGCATCTGGAGAAAGTGAACGAAACGTTTATTTGATGTTCTGCGCGAGAAAATTGGTGAATGGTATTCTGGAGGCACTGCGTTAGAGTGTCTCGATCCGTGCAGCGAAAGCGAACGAGTGCATCGAGGCACGTTAGAGACTAGCGCTGTCTGGCAGTTATCTTCGAAAACGAAGGAATGCGTGCGCGCCTGTCTCAGAGGCGATAAGGTGTAGAACGCAGAGCGATGGGCAGGTGCCACCACCATGTCGTCTGAGCAAAGCGCTGGAAACACTTGGTTTTTTGAGCATCGTGTTGCATTGCCAGCGCCGCGCGATAAACTCTGTTGTTCTCAGAATTACGTATGTATGCCTTCTCTAGTATAAGGACAGACATACAGAATACATACTTGTTATGGTGCCTCAGATATGCGCAATAATTGCTTTTTAATTGACAATCGTACAAGTATGAACGCTGAATCTTGAGCCATATTGGTGGGCGCTGCATATGGGGTTGGCCGTTTGGGGTATCGTTTAGGGTGCTTTAGAGTATCGTTACGCACATAATATATACGCCGCACGACACATGGGAAACAGCACTGCTTTACGTAATCACCACACATCAAAACACGAGGTCAGTGGAAAGGCGAATCTAGCCAAGCAATAAGAAGCAAAATTAGAAACTGAGACGTCTACAAAACTACTCATGCCTCACTTATAAACGAGTCTCCTTTCTTCTCTCTCAAAAACGTTCATGTGTTTCCCAGGCCTGAACATCTGAGCTTTTGGCAAGACAGAAACGCTCGAAAACCTTGCCTCCCAAGAGCAGGAATCTGAGTGTGCAGGCAAACGTACTGCCGAATTATTTCCAAGTGACAGCACATGTTCCTTAACTCTGACGTTCAAACATCGAGCAGCTTGGCCTATGTAAAGCCGACCACAACGTGAGATTTCATACACCACGCCCACATAGCAATTCATATACGTCAAGCGTGTTTCTTCCAACAAGTGAAGGACACCGGTGGTTAAGAAATACATGGGCATAGGCAAGAAATCTTACCTGGTGTACTTGCACGTTGTACCAGCTTAACGGCGCCACTGAGGCATTAGTACGTTGTGCAGAGCACCCGTAAGGCTACGCAATTTGTCATATATGCAACCATAAACCATCTTTTCCGGCCACTTCCCAAATCTCATCGGTAGTTATATAAAAGAAATTCAGCCTCCTTTATAACAAAAACTTTCTTGAGAGCTCTGCATTTCAAGATAACTTTCTTTGTCTCACGTGCATTTCGGTATTCTTTTACAAAAGGCTGCCACATAAAGTTCGTGAGGCAGCCTTCCTACTGTTGCTTCCATCTTTTCCTAGTCATAATTCTGCGTGTCGCAAGGTTTTGATCACATTTTAATTAGATGTAACAGTTCGCCAAGCTCTGAGTTAATTCCTTGTCTATTGATGTGATATGTGAGCTTTAATGTCCCAAAACCGCCATATGATTATGAGAGACGCCATAGTGGAGGGCTCCGGAAATTTCGACCACCTGGGGTTCTTTAACGTGCACCCAAATCTGAGCACACAGGCCCACAGCATTTTCGCCTCCATCGAAAATGCGACCCCTTATTTACTAATGGCTACTCTTTTAAATGCGAAGCATATCTTAGGCGCATGATGTCCGCTTCGGCGTCGATGGCGGCACCGTCCACACATGACCGTGTCTCACGTCTCGTGCCGGAAAAGGAAGACATCCATAAAACTGTCGCTGCTCTCCCCCTCTTTCGCCTCACAAGGCCAACGCAGGCAGCGTCTGCTAGTAAAAAAAAAAGTGCCCTCGTCTGCCCGAAGGGGATCGTGAGAAAATGCTAATGCATGGAGAAAGGAAACAACTGAGGAGAAGCCGTGATGTCGCTCGTTGTGAAGCCTTGGTGAAGCCGGAAGCCAGCCATATTGACTGGGCAAATTGTCCTCTCTTGTTTACACCCGAATGTCAAGCAGAAGGCGTGACTCCCCGGCTCAAAAAGCACGTGGGCTGCGCGGTGCGTGTGTCGTGGCAATCCGGAACCAACGTAACGGGGGGCTCGACACGCTGGGCCAGCGCGATGCCGTTGGGTTGGCCGTTTGGCCTATCGTCAGGCCCCGGAAGCTTTCAAGTTCCCGCGATGGCTGTAGAGGACGAAAAAATCGACCGCGGCGAGTTTCGTCATGTGCGCGTATAGTGGAACTACTATCTCCTCTTTTAGTGGTCGGATAAGTTAGTGTGCATTTCCCCTAATAGGGGCGGTCAACGCAGCTAAATATTTTATTTCAGAATGTATAAAAAACCGTTAAAAGAGTAATTACCGTGTCGTTTTCCATAAAAAGTTAAATGAAGTATTCTTGTGTAAGTTTTGCTACTATTATAAGAGTGTAAAGTGTTTGAGTTCAAGTATTGAGTTTATCCTGACGCTCCTAAAGCAGCAGCCCATTGGCATCGCTTGCGTTTCTGTCAGTGAATTTGTTCAAGTTGTACCACGGCTAGCCACGGTACTTTTTGTCAATCGGCATTGCGAAGCTTTATTTTAATTCAGCTTTGATATATCAATGCGAGCTTGCACGTCAGACTTTATAGGCCACTACGACGAAGTCAACGTGACTAAAGGCTGTGAACCATGTCAGCTGCTGTGCTTCACCGACGTCCGGCTGCGCAGCCTCCAGCGGGAAAGTTCAATGCCAGCAATCGCTCGGAGTCTGCCTACGGAGACGGAATAATCTTGCACAATGTGGGCGTGTTCGCTGGGGAGTGAAAATGCACTGTATGCATCTAAACATGGCCCTTTTCTTTTGCATGTGCTACAGCTTTTGTCATTTCATAAGGCTTTTTGATTTGTAAAGCTAAAGAGATGCACACCTTGTGAATGTTTGGGATTGTTTACTTCGTTGTCACATTCGCTGAAAATTTCTTTACTGCTAAAATTTAGAGCACAGATCACAGCATAAGTTCTACCTGTTTCTGTTTGAAATGAGCTTGCTGCAATATATGCTCATAAATTAAATTCATAGTAGAGCCAAGTGAACCTTTAATACATATACTAGTTTGTACATTTTTCATAAGTTTACAATAAACCACATTACATTTGCATGAACCATGTAGTCGATTCAGTTGGGGAGTTACTTAGCTTTGTCCTCTGAAAAACGTCACTAAAACAAATTTATTATAATGCCATCCACAAGCCAAATTCACGAAAACAGCAATGTTAAGTCCACACTATCTTTCATATAAGCCGTGTTCCCATATG